CCCCAAAACCCCAAAACCCCAAAACCCCAAAACCCCAATTATTTCATATTTGCATTTAATTCAATTATAACTATGCCATAGTTGCTAAGAAAGATCTCATAACTTGATTTAGATGTTTTCCTGGTTATATTTACATTATTATTTCTCTGAAACTTTTCACTTTGTAAAACTTCATCAATCATAGTTTTCCTAAAGGGCAGTTCAAATATAAATTTAGTGTATTAACACTTTAAGAATATTTGTAATGCCAATGTGCAAGGTAGCATAAATACTTTTCCAAAATATTACCTTCTTAACAGAAAATTCAAATTTAGCTAACTTTCTTTAAACTTCCTACTCCACATTTTAATTGAATTAGCGAAAAATAAAACTTAAACTTAGTTTTTAAAGATTAAATATATTTTGATATATCAAATATTAATCTTTATTTCAATAAATATAAACTTACCTCCACCAAAAAGACCTCTTCTTTTGAGTCTATCTGCTTCTTTAGGATTTTTCTTTCTAATTTTCTCTTCCCAATACTCCAAGGTGTCGCTGATGTTAGTCCAGAGAAGGGCTACTAAAGCTATTGAAAGAATGAGTCATGCTATTCCCAGGTAAGCAACCAACATTGCATGCAGGTTCACCATGAATAGCCTAAACCCATAATGCTTGTATCCCAGGACTGAGAATATCAGTTTGATTAGGAAGTTTGGGACTAGCAAATTAAATATCCCATTTATGAGAAATCCAATAAAGTGCTTATAGTTTTGATACGCAACTCAGTTTCCCATGAGGATGCAGTGATGATCAAAATGTAACACGTATCCGTCTCAAACATCTCAAAAGGAGTATTCATCAAATTCAGTAATGGGTTTCCTCTTTTTGACCTTTCCCTCTTTCTTATCTTTAGTATCAGATTTATCTTTTTGTTCTTTGGATTTGCCAACATGTGGCATGACCAAATCCATAAAGCTCACTTGAATCATTTTATTTGAAAGTCATAATAAAAGAGATCATACCAACCAGATAGAAAGTATATTTAAGAGAAAGAATTTGAATATGCGGAAGCTCAAGGAAAAATAAGCTTCAGTTTACTAGAACCCATAGGACGGATTGGAAGTAAAATAGAAATCTTCCTCCATATCTTTTGCATAAAATCCAGCAGGACATTTATTTTTAATTATATTACACAATATAGTCCCCTTATATGGGGTTTTGGGGTTTTGGGGTTTTGGGGTTTTGGGGTTTTGGGG